GTGCCAAGGCTAGGGGGTAGTGTGGATGTCTGTGCTGGGCTGGTGGTGAGGGGTGTGGTGGTCTGAGGAGGGGTCCCAGGGCTGCTCGTGACCCTAGTCGTGGGGGGTACAGACAAGGTCTGCGTGCTGGTGACCCCAGGTGTGGAGGTCTGGGGAGGGGTCCCAGGGCTGCTGGTGGCCCTAGTCGTAGTGGGTACAGGCATGGTCTGTGTGCTGGTGACCCCAGGTGTGGAGGTCTGGGGAGGGGTCCCAGGGCTGCTGGTGACCCTAGTCGTGGGGTGTACAGGCGTGGTCTGGGTGCTGATGGTCCCGGTGGTGGGCGTGGTGGGCATGGTTGTTCCTGGGGTGGGCCCGGGCCCGGAGGTGGTGCTGCAGTTTCTGTAATCGCAGCAGAGCACCCGGACATTGTAGTTGAAACACATGTTGAAAGGACCCTGCTGGTCACTGTTCCGGCAGACCAGCCCCACCTGCAGGCTGCAGTTCAGCACCTGGCCGATCTGGTCCAGGCTCACCCCGGGGTAGTTCTCCGCGCGGCACTCAATCTTCTGGGGCAGGTCGCATAGCTTGCCCCCAGCCGCCCTGATGTTGTCAAAGGTCTCCATGTCGCCGCCCGAGACCCCAGAGGTTGGGAAGTCCGTGTCATACCAGTCTGTCCACTCGCACTTGGGCTGGCAGTAGGGCTTCCCCTGGTTCGTGGTAGGTGCCACGGTGCTGGGAGGTCCTGGTGATGTGCCCACCGTTGGGGGCAGAGTGGGCTTTGTTGTGACTGTGGGTGCAGCTGTGGGCACCGGGGATGTGCCAGCAGAGGTCTGCCCGGTGGTGAGAAGGGGGGGGGCAGTGGTGGCGCAGTGGCTCAGGCTACAGCAGAGCACGCGGATGCGGTAGTTGTAGCACATGTGGAAGACGCCCTCCTGCTCGTCGTTCCGGCAGACCAGTCCGAAGCTGGCGTTACAGTGGACATTCTGGCCGACCTGCGCCAGCGTCCGGTTGGGGAAGTTCTCGGCCTGGCACTCGATGTCCTGGGGCTCCTCACAGATGTCCCCGCCGCCACTGCGGATCTTGTCAAAGGTCTCGACGTCCCCGTCCAACTTGTCGGATTTGGGGTAATCCTTGTCAAACCATTCCGACCACTGACACCTGGGCTGGCAGCTGGTGGAGGTCAGCGTGGCCGAGGTGGACTGCGATTGTGAGGTCTGAGCTGAAGTTATCTTCGGGGTGGACTGCAAGGTGGTCTCTCTGGTGGAGGAGCCCTGGCTGGGGGTGGGGGTGGGAAAGGACTGGGTGGCTGGTGTCCCGGGGGTGGGCAGGCTTGTGGAAGGCCCACAGGGCACCAACACGCAGCACCGGACCCGCAACTCGTAGTTGTGGCAGAGGGCGGGGTTCTGCTCACGGTTCAGGCAGGTCAGCCCGTGCACACGGTCACAGTCCACACGCTGGCCAAGCTTGTCCAAGGTCACGTTGGGGAAGTGCACAGCCCTGCACTCAATGTCCACCGGCTGGAGGCACACCTGGTAGCCCCTCTCCCTCAGGACAGCAAACGATTCAAAGTCCCCGCCTTCCATCCCAGGCTCCGGCTGGCTACCATCATACCACTGCGACCAAGTGCAGACCTCGTGCACACACCCCATGGTGGTCCCCGTGGGCACGGGCACAGAGCCTGGGGAGCATCAGGGGGAGGAGAGACATCAGGGGAAGGGAAGTGCCAGGGGGAGGGGAAGTAGGGGGAAGGGGCCCCAGGGAGGTAGGGAAGGAGCCCCCTTCACTCCGGATGGGTGGAAGTGTGCCTTCTGGCCCCATGGTGGGTAGATCCCTGGGCATCCAGGGCCGAGGGAAGCCCTAAACTGGGCCCCAGGCTGAGCAGGGCTCCTCCTTCCCAGTTAGAGTAAGACTTGGGGTAGGGCAGGAAGCCAGGGGGCTTGGTGGGTTCTGGGCAGCCTGCTGTGGCCCCTCTGTGGCAGTGGAGCAGGCTGGGAAGCACAGTTAGTGGCCTGATGCTCTGTAGTCTCTGGGCTGGGTGCTTAGCTCTCTGGGCTTCAAGGGCTAGCGTCACCGCCCCCCCCCCTCCCAGCTGAGTTTTGGAGGGTGGCCCACACCAGCCTCCCCGTGGGACTCACTTGCTGTGGACGGCTGTGCCGCTGTGGTGCTGAAGGTGAAGGGCGGCGTGGTGGATTGGACTAGGGGACACTGCATGGTAATCCGGTTGATTATCCCGTTGTCCCCACAGATGGCCACCAGGCAGGCACCCAGCCCGTCGGTGGTGTTGTAGATGACCTCCTGGTAGTAGTATGTCCTGCCCTCGTAGGTGCACATGCAGTCTGTGGGCGGTCAGAAGCCGCTGACTCTGAGCCCCGGCGCTCCAGGACCCCGCTTCGCCCCCAGACCTCCCACGCCTCCAGCCCCCCGGGAAAACCCGCCCTCCTTACCCTCGGGGCTGTGCACGCACTGGATGCCGCCGCCTGGGGTGCAGGTGCTGTGCAGAGTACGGAGTGC